GCTTCCCAGGCTCTCCAGTTGGTAGACAGCAGACTGCAAGACTTCTCAACCTCCACGACCATGTGAGCCAATTCCTTTCCCTGAGTATTTTGTATATAAAAAAAAGCTCTAACATACACACACACACACACACACACACATATATATAGTTATAGTTATAAATTATGTGGGTGTATCTGTCTGATTCTATTTCTCTGAAGAATCCTGAGTAAAATAAGAGAAACCTGGATCATCTACCTGTCTTAGAGCGCCCTAGTTTGCCGAGAAGACAAAGGCTCATTCATATATGATGGGAAGCCATTCTGCTTTCTAATAGCTAGGAAGTATCAACCTATACATGATCTGTACACTCAGTAAACTCATCATTGAGTCACTGAGGACTGTAAGGAAAAGAACATCGTGGCTGAACTACTGTCAGAGTTCTGAGATGGCCATCCTCTCCTAGCTAAAGCTGATAGAAGAGAGAGGCTGCTTAGCAGAGATGCAATTGGTATCCAGTATGTTAAAAAAAAAAAAAAAACACCATTCTCCATGTGGCACACACTCACAGGATTTACCTCAACACAGGAAAGAACTTTATCACTGTAGTTTGCTGTCCAAAGAATGGAGCAGGGTAGTAATGGAAGAATACAGAAAAAAGGCATCCTGACCAAGTGGAAGGGGATACTGAACAAGATAAAAGATGAGTTAGAGGAGACATGATGAAAGAAGATGAGGTTTGGGAGAGAACATTCTAGTCAGACTGAAAAGCATTTGCAAAGACCATAAGCCCGGGCAAGGCTGTGACTTATATGAGAGTCGAGGTGACTGGAGCCAGAGACAGAAGGGAGTCATAGAAAATGAGGAGGACAGACACAGCCACATTGACACAGGCCTTGGGATGAGTTTGGTTTTTCAATTCTTATCATCTTTGGAAGATTTCAAGGGGCCATTTATGGGATAAGATTTGTCCTAATAAAAACCACAGTGGTAGAACTCTTACTTGTATATGTGAAGCCCTAGACCCAGTCTCAGCTCCTTAAACCTAGACGCAAGCTCCAGCCTGTGAAGAATGGGTCGGAAGTCAAGGTACAGACACTGCAGAGAAGCCTGGGTACGTCCCATGATGAAGGGAGTGGTGAAGGATAGACAGATGTAGTGCATACTTAGGAGGAGAAGAGGGCAAATGTTCATAAAGACTTGAAGAGTGTTGGAAAGGGCCATTCTGGTGTGAAGGGTGACTTTGTAGACCCTGTATGGCAAAATGGTTGTTAGGGTTTGTGGCTGAAATGGATAAACAAATATAAGAGTACTAGGCCAGTGTGAAGTGAGTCACAGCAAACCAAGGGGAGGGTAGCCCTGACCAGGACTCCAGATTCTATTCCAAAGACCCTATGAATATGTATTTGTGCCTTCTGCAAGGGGTGAATTTACAGTCATTGTCAACCTTACAGCATTATTTGAAAGTCTTTATGAATTCATGACCGTACATTAGGGATTGAGGACAATCATGACCTAACCAATAGCATGGCAAGATTGTGTTTTGGTTATACCATAACTCCATTCATTCTCATTGGCACATTCTCCTTCTCCTCTCCAGTTGTTTTCCTGGAAATCTGCTGGATCACTTCTTCTCCATCACAATATGGAAAAGAGGGGAAGGGAGCTGATGTGGTGATATTTTATCTGTGTCCCCCAATAAAGTTTATCTGAGGATCAGAGGAAAAAGCCAGTCACTATATTAAACATAGAAGTCAGGCAGTGGTAGCACATGCCTTTAATCCTATCACTCTGGAGGCAGAGATCCATCTGGATCCCTGTGAGTTCAAGGCCACACTGGGAACAGAGCCAGGCATGGTGGCACACACCTTAAATTCCAACACTAGTTAACCATAAAGGTCTGGAGGTCTGTAAAGACAGACAGGAAGTGACAGAGCTGGACTGAAAGAGGAAGTGATGTAGCTGGGCCAAGAGGAAATGAGATGGCAGAACAGAAAGGCATATAGGCGTGGATATACAGGAAGTAGATCTCTTTTGCAAAGGGTCTCCAAGTGGGTAAGAATGTGACTGGCTTCTTTCTGCCTTTCTGATCTCTCAGTTTTTCACCCCAATATCTGGCTCCAGGTTTTTTTTATTTAATAAGACCTTTTAAGATTCGTGTGACAATCTGACTCCATTGTTTCGGGCACAGTCACATCCTCTTGCTAATGGTATGATTGTGACAAGTAGACTGAATTCTCTCACGTGTTTTTGTATATACTGGGTTGCTCTCCAGTTTGGGATAGTTACTCAAAAGGTCTAGTGTAGTAGCTAGACTGGGAGAAGCTGGAGAAAACCTACATAGAGGTAATTTTCCTACTCCATCCTTTGAGAAGAATGAAAAGTCAACATCATTCTCATTTGAGTCTACTGTGTGTGGATTTCTCATGCAAACAGAGGCCTGTCCACCTCTGTGTCTCTTACTGATTGGTCTGTCCCTGCTACAGATTACAGAGCGCGCGCGCGCGCGCGCACGCACACACACACACACACACACACACACACACACACACACACACACACACTACTTCTGAGGTCAAGAATACTCATCCTTATGTTTCCTTTATTTCTCATTACTTTTCTAAAAAGAAACTGGTTGGTTTGTTTGTATTTTTTCTTTGGTATACAGTCTATCAGGCTGGTGACCTGGGTCAGAGGTAAACACCTCTTGCAGCTTTCCCAGAGGACCCAATTTGGTTCTTGCACCAACTTTGGGTGGCTCCCAACTGCCTGTAACTCCAATTCCAAGGGATAGGACAGCCCCTTCTGGCCCCTATGTGTATCTAAACACGTGGCATATACATCTGTATAAATAAAAATACATATTTAAAAAGAAAAGCTATGACTTATGGTTTGCTTTGCTTTTTATATAGCCAATCTGGCCTTGATTTTATGATCTTCCTCCTGAGTGGTAGGATTACAGTTGTGGAATGCTGCCCTCCAGGTCCCAGGGGTGACATGGTCAATGTTCTTGTGAACTCTCAGCAGCTGCGGTCACCACAGGAGACCTTTATGAGAAGAGGCCTATTAATTTTCCATCATGGGGTGGGGCAACAAGGCCTGCTCCTCCATTAAAATAAATAAGGAGATATTGGGATCTGGGAGAGAGACTTTCTAGTTACCCACACGTTTTGTCCCCTTTAAGGCCATTGGTTGATGCACATGGATGGAATGTTCATTTCTGCACATTGGTGCTCCATCTGCACTGAGATGAAGGTTTCTTCTCCCCAGCTAAAGTGCACAGAATAACAATCATGCCATCACTTCCAACTGATGAACTGTCTTCAGACATGGCAAATAGCATAGGCAGGGATGCCAGAAGAGTTTTTCTCCACTGCCACGGGCCTAACTTCCGAGGTGGGCTCCTGCTCCACTCTGGTCCCTTCTGGAAAAAGGTAGAACCAACAGCCATGTCTCAACTATCTGTGCTCCAAAATGCTTTTGACTGAAGCATTTCAGTAGCTGCTTAAGCGAACACAGTGTTAGTTTCAGCTGCCAATTTTAGAATTAAATGGCTTACATTACTACAAAATTTTAGCAGAGCGTGTTTTCCAAAATAAATGTCATTAAATCTACACTCCCACCAACTGATTAGAGATGTGAACTCAGAAAATATGGCAAGAACTGCAGAGCGGTAGAGGAAAGAAAAACACATGTTGGTTTCAGATGGAAAAGTGCCACTTCCTCCCCCACCCCTGCCTGAGGCATATACAGTTTAGGATTGAACAAAGTGTCTCCTGTGTCTCAGGATCAGAGAGCCAACTGTGGTGTCCACTGTTCTCAGTTCAGGTTGTATTAGTTATGACGGTGAAATTTCCACAACACGCTGGGGTGAATGAGACGCCTCTCTCAGTTTTCTGATCTGGAGGGTTTGGGCAAGGTGGGGCAGGCACGGGGCACCATAGGAAGTCTAGCCACCAGAACTGAAAGAGCTGAAGTCTTAACTTCTGGAGGTATGGATGCCACCTCTCTTTACAGGGGTTATCTTTCCAGCGCTGAGAATTAATGAGCCAAGAAGGGGTCATTTCAGGGCTCTGTCACAGCACTGGCTGAAGGGGTTTGTCATTGTGATTCCTTAGAAAATCATCTCAGCTTGCTTGCACTATGAGCTTTCAAAAAAGGGGAAGGGGACCTTTATTCCTTATCCCTACTCATCACCTCCATCTGGGATAGAGGTAATGTCTGATTCACATATGGCACGAAGACCATAATTTAATTAAATGTGAACACAGCCTTTTCATGTACCATATTTAAGTTTTGAAATGTAGCCCAGTTTTCCTTCTATTTAAAATACATGGAACAACATGTCTAAAAAAAACCACATAGTTAATGACAGATGTGATGGGACTTTCATACCCTCTTCCTGGATGATACAGCCCAGTACCACCATTGAAGATGGGCTATTTTGGGGAGATACTCTCTTGGAAGTCCATAGAATTGCATATCTGTGTCCTAACCAACTTATTCATTTTTAATAAAATTGCCACAATGGCTTTGATATGTGTTCTTCCGATGCGATGCTAACATCTGAATTGCTTTAATTTAAACTATTTGAGGGTTTCCAAACGCCAAACCACAGGTTAACCAGAGATGATTTATTTAAACTTGCATGCTCTCTTAAAAGCTTCTGGGTAAAGTAGAAAATGGATGCAAGTCTGAATAAGAGACAGATCTGTAGGTATGGCCTACAGAGAATATCTGAGATTTATTTAGCTAATTATTAGTGTTCTGATAACTAGATAGGAAATTTTAACCAACATCAGTCCTGATTCCATGAAAACAAAAGAGTAATTGTGAAATGCTTCCCCATCGAATTGTCCAACGGGAGTGGGAGTGAAACCAGGCAACAGGAATCCCAAAAATTGCTGTAATTTTCTTAGTAGAAATACTCCAAAAGATCCTATTTATGCTTTACAAAGTACATCTTGGAAGCATGTAAAACACACATGTAAAGCAAGATACACACAGGGTCACACACAGGGTCCTACACAATCCGATGAGTTGTTTTATTTCAAATGAACTTGTTCACTTCATTTATCCAGTTACAAACTTTCCTCATGCACATTTATGAAATGATTTCTCACAGCCCGGTGCCCGATTCCTACACAGTATATTCAGAACCAAGACTGTGAGTTTCCTTCAGTCATATAATTAGGTCAAAGACTGAAAACACTGTCTGGCTTTCCAAGGGGAAGCTCCATGATGGCTGGTCTAACACAGCAGCATGTGCTACGTAACGTCGGAGACCCAGGATGCTTTTGATTGCGTTGTCCTCAACATTCTTCAGCTTCCATCTTCTAGAGATCATAAGAGGAAAAGGACAAAGAAAATTCAAAACACGTTGTGCTGAGCGCTTTTTTCCATTAATGTTTAAACTCATGCATGTGGCGAGGGAAATAAAATCCTTGTGTTTCTGATTCATTTACACTTAACTCACCGAAATGTTCTTAAAAAAAAAAAAAATACAAGAAGAAGAAAGGAACTGCCTACGAGTCTTCAGAACTTTTTTTTTTTCCTTTTACATGTTTGGTTCCAGCTTGTTGACTCATAGCCCCAAAGGTTCAAGGTTGGTTCATAGCTCTGAACTCATGTGCTAAGAATAAGCCCGAAACTTCACAAAACAAACGTACTTTACTGTGACCCTCTCTAAAAATAACTCCAGTTCTGCTCTGGGAGGAGGGGCAGTGTGTGATCTGTGCCTCAGTCCAGAGTTAGAGCTGGAGCTGGAGTGAATGAAACAAAGGAAAAACAAGCAAGCAAGCATGAACTTCCAGAGCAGGGAGGGGAGAGGAGAGGAAGCGACGGCTTGGCTTGGGATGGGGCACTGTGGACTGAGGTACAGAGATCGTCTATCTATGGCCCTTCCTCATGATTCTGCTGTTAGCTAGGGTACAGCTGAGTGAACATGCTACCCTTCCACTCTGTGCCACAAACCTCACATTTATAAAAAACAAAACAAAACAATAACCGGAAGAATGAGGTCAAAATTTTCAGTGTTGGCCAAAATGATTACTATGTGCTTTTCTGTTCCGGACATCTTATTAGCAGTGGTTCTCAACCTTCCTAATGCTGCAACCCCTTAATACAGTTCCTCTTGCTGAGGTGACCCCCCAACCATAAAAGTATTTCATTGCAACTTCATAACTGTAGTTTTGCTACTGTTATAAATTACAATGTAGGAGCGGCATGGTGGTGCACACCTTTAGTTCCAGCACTTGGGAGGTGGAGGCAGGCAGATCTCTCTGAGTTCCAGACAGACAGAGCTATATACAAAAACCCTGCCTAGAGGACAAAAACCAATAAAAAAAAATCATAATGTAAATATCTGATGTAGAGGTTGATTACCGCTGCTTTATAGACTGATGTCTGAACAGTAAAGCAAGAAATCTTAGATAATGTGAGTCACCCCAACCTGACTGACCTTCTCTCTCCAGTTTTTTCTCCATACTCTACCAAGAATATTTCCTAATTGCCTAGTTCTTTCAGTGCCCCCAGCTCCACAGTCATATTTATCCTCTTGTTTGGTGTTCCCACTGACTTGTTTCCAGGCCGGGTCCTCCTTGGTCTGTGGCCCCGCATCAGGAGTCTATCATTGGCACTTGGACTTGAACTGCTCCTTTGCTCTTAGCATGAGTTTTGGCCCCAGAAAACTGTCCACAGGTTTTTTTTTTTGTTGTTGTTGTTGTTTGTTTGTTTGTTTGGTTGGTTGGTTGGTTTCTCAAGCACTTTCATGTTTCCCAGTCACAAAAGGCTTCTTGATCAAACAGCCCTAGACATCTGAGGGCATCCATCCTGGGGATCTGTTGTAGTCCGGTGTGCAAGCAGACAGGCAGACACTAAGCTCGCCCACTTTCAGTCAAGCATTCTGGACCAAAAAACTTACATCTCATGAGAGAGAATAAAATATTTCCTTCCAACATGAAACCACAGGAGATCTCTTGTAGTATGGGTGAAGTGGGTTTTTCGTTGTTGTTTTGGTTTGGTTTATTTTCCTAAAAGAGAGTGTCACCAAAACCTCCGTAGACTATCATTTATCCTTTTTCTCTTCTTCTGTGGGAAATTGCCTGGTGGCATCTTTGCAGTGTTTGGTGAAGACGATCTGACGATCTGTATGAGCGGGGGTGGGGGGGTGGGGGTGGGGGTTAGGGGTGCAGGGTGGGAGTGGAGAGGTCTGGGCTCTTGTGCCGCCTTGGAAGTGCCTTCCTTTAAGAAGCCCGTATTCTCGGTCCTCCAGCTGATGTCTTCCCATTGTTGATACTCCATTTGTGCCTGTGATGATTTTAAGGTCTTTTGGTCATTTCTCATGTTTATCGTTTTCAGAATTTTGGGACCATGTGTGTGCGAAGCAGTTTACTAAGGGAAAAAAAAAAAGCCACTTGGTATTCTTTAGTTCTGCTTCAGAATCAGGCTTAAGCTCTTCCCAGTTCTGTTGACCACTCGCTAACGATGACTTCCCATCCAAACAGAGGGAAGGCTTTTGAATGTGTATTAAAATGCACGGAAGATTTCTGAGACATCAAATGGCTGGGGTAACAAATCAACATTTTGATGAGTTAAGTGTAAATTAACTAAAAACACATGGCCTGGATGTTCCTTGAAGCACAAATGGTTTGAGAAAGTTAGAAATGCATGGGGGAAAAAATGGCTTTTATTTTCATGAACCCCCAAAGTTTTTTTAAAAAAAAAAAAAAAAAGTAGTTGAAGGCTAATTTTCTTCTTTTTCCAAGTGTTGCTTCAGAGTTTGGAAATACATCCCTTTTTGTTTGTTCAGTGTTTTAACCTTGATCTTCTAGCAACAGGATTTCCTTCCTTCTCTACCTCATCCTCTTTCTTACTCAAGGGTGAGTGGTTGTCAATCGGCAGAACCCACTTTTCAAGAGGTCAGAGTATTAGTCTGCTCTAATTCTATTCTCTAGGCCTCTAGAGCAGTGGTCCTCAACCTTCCTAATGCTGTGTGACCCTTTAGCACAGTCCCTCATGTTGTGGTGACCCGCCCCCAAGCATAAGATTATTTTTGTTGCTACTCCATAACTGTAATTTTGCTACAGTTATGAATTGTAATGTAAGTATCTGTTTTCCGATGGTCTCAGATGACCACTATGAAAAAGTACCTACCCACAGGTTGAGACCACTACTCTAGTGGATTAGGCAAAAAGAAAGTCAATGGCTGGTGAGGCAGACGCTGGGATCCTCCACTGCCATTAGGCCTAGCTGGGAATAATGTGATCTGTCCCTTACTTCCTTTTAGCAAGTTCTTTCGTGGTGGTATTGGTATTGGTGCATTGTTTTGTTTTGTTTTTTGAAACGAGGTTTCTCTGAGTAGGTTTGGGAGCCTATCCTGGAACGCGCTCTGCAGACCAGGCTGGCCTCATCATACTCAGAGAGATCTGCCTGCCTCTGCCTCCCTAGTGCTGGGATTAAAGGTGCGCACCACTACCACCTGGCAAATAGTGATGAGTTTTTTGTTTGTTTGTTTTTCTGTTTTTGTTTTGTTGTTGTTGGTGGTGGTGTTTGGGGCTTGTTTTGTTTTGTTTTTTGGAGTTTTTATGGGAAGAAAGGGTAATTAGCTTGAAGCAAGAGTCTAAATTCCTGAAAGAAAACAAACAAACAAGCAAACGTACTACTGAGCAGCCTCTAATGGCAACCCAGTGTTATGATTTAGGCTATCATTTACCAACATCCACAGTATCTCTGTTTACAGTCCTTAAGCCTTACAAGGCAATACGAAGGTATCATCTGTAAAATCTGTTCTTCCAATCGTGTGTTTTCACTCGACATGCTCTTTATTCTATTTTCTAAGTGATGAAAGTAACACATAATTGTGTGCCTTGTTACATACATTCTAAAGGAAAATACAATCACATTACCCAATCATATCACTATGAATCATATATCTGCTGATAAAGCCAATACCATAAGGCTAAGGTAAGATTTCAAACCTGCTTCCATATGTGCATGCATGGGCGGTTTTCCATTTCTTTCACTGAAAAATGCATTTATACTATATCATATTATTTCTACTTATTATTGTTCTTCAAAGGTTTATTCTGAAAATCCCTCCAATATCAGTAGCTGTAGCTCAAATATATCTTGTTGTCATGTTCATTTTTTTTAATGGTAAGACCCCACTGTATAGTCCAGACTAGCTTTGAGCTGGCAATCCTCCTGTCTGTTTCCCAAGCACTGGGATTACAAGCTTGTATCACCGTATCTGACTCAAATACATTTTTTAAAATCAGTTTAATCTGTGTCTTAGTTGTTTTCTGTTGCTGTGATAGGAGTCCATAACCAAAGAAGCCTACAAAGCGTTTACCTGGGTCTCCAGCTCCAGACGGAAGCAGTCTACGTTGGTGAAGACACGGTAGCAGACATGGCTGCTAGCACAGCAATCCTAGAGATCACCGTGTGAAACATAGTGAACTCTAAGTGCCATGAGTCAACATCTACTCCCTAGGGCCACGCCTCCTCCACCGTGGCCTCCTAAACCTCCCTAAACAGCACCGCCAACAGGTGGAGAGCCAGAGTGCAAACGCCTGAGCGTCTGGAGGACGTTCTCGTTCTAACCACCACAGCACCGTGTAGGTGTATCACTGTTGCCTGTGGTATGTGCGTTGTGCGGCGGGTAGACCCTTCTTTCCACACGGAAAAGGGTTTTCTGTGCAAATCTGTGACCAAACGCCTTGGCATTCATTCAGAAATTTGGAATTCTGCAGGACTGAGTCTCAGAAGGAGGATGGAGCTGATGAGTATTGTGGTTATGTTTAACTTATGAAAGATATTAGGGCTGGGGGATTTAGCTCAGTGTTAGAGTACTTGCCTAGCAAGCACAAGGAGGTGGATTCTGTCCTCAGCTCCGTGAGGTGGGGTAGGAGGAGGAGAAAGACAAAATAACTTATGAAGGATGCTATCTTTCAAATAAATTATTTATTTATTTATTTATTTATTTATTTATTATTTATTTAATGTGGTATTTTGCCATGGGTGTCAGATCCCCTGGAACTGGAATTACCCTCAGTTTTAAGCTGCCATGTGTGCTGGGAATTGAACCCAGGTCCTCTAGAAGAGCAGTCATTGCTCTTAACTACTGAGCCATCTCTCCAGCCTCCTATGTTAACTTTTAATAGGAAATGTAGACATGTGTGAAGATGCCCATTTCTCCATATTCGTTATAATATTTTGAGAAATGACTAATAACTATGAACTTTCCGAAATAATTTTCCATGCCAATAACTTCGGTTTTGTATAACTGAGGGTTCCTTTTATTTTTCAAGTAAATTCGTTTATGTAGTTTTAAATGATAGTAAAATTTTTAAAGAAAAAATAATTGATGCCAAATGTCACACAAATACTAAAGTGATTGAGTCAAGCTTGACCCAAGAAGAAACTCACTAAAAATGAAGTAATAAAACCACGATGTACAGTGGACCAAAACCACAGCTCTCTCCAAGGTCCACTCTGAAGAGCATTCCAGTGTTTGTACAGCACTTCTCCTGGTCCTGGCTTTGAGAAGGAGAACGGTTAGTTTACTCTAAAAGCACATTTGGGTTGTGTGAATTTGCATGTGTGTATATCATTTTTTACATTAAAAATGCATTAAAGCATAAACTAACAAAATATTAACTGACTACAACGTAGCTTATAGTGTTAATATCGTTTACTCTATGTCGTAAGACCTCCGTCTTCTCGCCTAACTGATGCAGCAATCCTGTGCTGAACTTGATCTTGTCACTTGGACCTGACAGTTCAGGCTCAGGCTAGGATTTTGTAGACAGGATTAATATAGGTGCTAAATTATTCCATTTACTTAACTTCTGGCTCAACATAATCTTTTTAAAAAAAATACTGTTTTAAGTCATATCACCGGGTTGAAAAGTCAACACAAGGTATCTCCTTCCTGTGGGAACTGTACCTGTTGAAACAGTACCACATTACAGGGTTGCTGTTCTCTTACATGTCACTTGAGACATTGACATTCGTCACACTGCTCTGATGAGTTCTGATGTAAGCCATGCTTAATGTTTAATAGCGACATATCCATGTGAGACCAATTTCTGTGGGTTCTATAGTATAATTTTTTCCCTTCAAGTATATTGCTGTCATTTGTAATTTTTCTTTCAGGAAGAAATATGATTTGCTCAAGTTAATGACATATACTCATCACTTCAGTTCAAAATGCAAAACCATGAACAAAAATTCAACCTTATCCTTTGCATAATCATGTACATATTTAGAGTTCTATCTTAAATGCAAGCTGGCCAAAAGAATGAGTAAACATAAACAAATATAATGATTCAGAAATAAGCATCATATTAACTAATAATATGCTATATGATATGTAGTATTTATTGAGGAATGTTTATTTTAGCATTGTTTACAAATTATACTGGGCACAACCCAATGAGGGAGCTGACTAAATAAATCATATTGCTTCCTTGTATTTGAGTACGATGCTTCCATCCTAAAGATAGTGTCAGTTCTATGGGTGCTGACACACTCTGATAGATACATCATCAATAAACGGTGAAAGACACAGAATAGTACTGCAAATCCGCCTAAGAAGAAAGTGTCCCTGTACAGATGTAAACAGGAATGAAACACCTCTGGGAGTAAAGCCATGAAGTTAGAAACAGAGCTTGTCTCTATGGAGCAGTTGAGCACATTACAGACACATGCAAGGGGAGGACCTACACTTTCCATCTCTGCAACAAATGATGCCGGGGAACTAAATAGTCACATGCAAAAGAACAAAACTAGGTCTGCATCTCTCACCCTGCGTAAAAATCAACTCAAAATGGGCCAAATGCCGGAAACTTGCAGTACTGCTAGAGGAAAACATAGGCAAAGCACATATAGACAGAAGCAAAAACATCATGCAAAGGATGCCGATAGCACAGAAAATGATCCTAAGAGTTGGCAAACTGTTAAAGCTTCTGTCCAGGAAGGGGAAAAATCAGCAGAGTAGAGACCACTTGTAGAGTGGGGGGAAATCTTTGCTGATTGTGAATATGATAGGAGATTGATATCTAGAATATGTAAACAGCCATAGACATTGCGCACCAAAAATCATCCAGTCAATAAATGGGCTACCGAGTGTAGTAGACCGATCTCAAAGTAAGAAATACAAAGGCCAAAGGCTGAATGTGGTGGTGCACATCTTTAATCCTAGCACAAGAGAGGCAGAAGTAGATGAACCTCTGTGAGTTTAAAACTGTTTGATCCATATAGCAAGTTCCTAGTCAGGAGGTGTTGACATAGTGAGGCCCTGTCTCAAAACATAAAATAAAATGAAAGAAAAGAAAATGAATTATAAATGACCAACTAATACCTAAAAACACATTTAACACCCTTAGCAATCAGGAAAATTAAAATTATTTTGAGGTTCCCTCTCATCTGAGTCAAAACAATTATCAAGAAAAGAAATGACGGGGCTGGAGAGATGGCTCAGTGATTAAGAGCGCTGGGTGCTCTTGCAGAGGTCCTGAGTTCAATTCCCAGCAACCACCTGATGGCTCACAACCATCTATAATGAGATCCGGTGCCCTCTTCTAGCCTGCAGGCAGAACACTGTATGCATAATAAATAAATAAATCTTAAAAAAAAAGAAAAGAAAAGAAAAGAAAAGAAAAGAAAAGAAAAGAAAAGAAAAGAAAAGAAAAGAAAAGAAAAGAAAAGATATGACAACCAACTCCGGCAAGTATTTGGAAACACAGGAACCCTTATATGCTGGGGGTGCTCGTGCAAACTGGAGTAGTTGTTATGGAAATCAGTATGGAAAAAAATACTTAAAGATTGAACTATTAGGACTGGGAACGTGACTAGGTGGATCAGAACACTTGCCCTGAAAGCATGAGGACCGGGGTTCAAATCTTAGCACCCACATAAAAGCCTGGACTAGCCACTTGTTTCTTTAACCCCAGCACTGTGAGGCAGAGACAGGCAGATCCCGAGAGCTTGATGGCCAGCCAGTCTAGCTGGGACGGTAAGTTTCTGGTTCAGCAAGAGCCCTTGGTTCAAAACAACAAAGCAGACCTGAAGACAACTAAGATCCTGAATTGACATCTTCGTGTGGATGGAAGAGGACACATACCTCTACCCGCATGCATGCACAACATACACACGTACACAGGGAGAGAGAATCTTACCGTGTGACCCGCCTGTACCAACCCCAGGTGTATACACAAAGGACTCTAAGTTGGCGAGCCACAGAGATGCCTGCACATCATGTTCACTACAGCACAACAGACAAGCAAGGAAACGAGCCTGGAGATCCATCAGGAGATAGATGGGAAGCCGGGTGCAGGGTCACAGACTCACAATAAAACTCACAAAATGTTTGACTAACTAACATGAATTAAACTGATTGATTAATTTAAAATTTTCTCTTTCCCTACATCTGTCACTTTTTGGAGTGTGTCCTTTCCCTGAGAATTAGTCTGAGACGAGTACTTGGTCCTCCTCAAGGGCACCGTGTCTTGATCTGTATTCATTACTTTTTTCCTGCTAATGTGACAAAAACAGACGATAGAAGCAACTTAAAGGAGAAAGAGTTTGCTTTGGCCTTCGGTTTAAAGGGATATGATCCAATATGGTGGGAACAGTATGGTGGTAGGTGGGGTTTCATCCACGGAAATGGGAGCTTGCAGTTTGCTTATTAAATCAAAGGCAGTCAGGGAAGCCAATTGGCTTATGATCCTCCCGCTCAACCCCTAAGGTGTCCAGCTAGAACCATATACAAAAAGTTCTACAGCCTCCCTAAACAACATCACTAACAGGAGCCAAGTGTTCAAATGCAGGAGCCCATGGAGGATGTTTTCTATTCAAACTGTAAAACATCCCAAGTTCATGTCTACATATGAAGTGTGAGGCTGGGGAAGTTTATCATAATGATTTTCAGAGACGATTCCTCCTGGACAGGAATTAACAGGAGGGACATTTTACCTCTGGAGAATTATGTAGAAGACAGGAAGGGAAAGAATGAGATATCTTGGGGTAAAGCCCCAATTGCATGTACAAAATCCCCAGACAAGATGAAGAAAAATTTCTGGTTTTATTTTCTTTGGTTTGGTTCTTTGGACACTGTTGTTTGTTTTCGGACTTTTTCTTTTGGCTCTTTTGGGGGGCCTGCCACCCAGCTCCCACATAAATCATTCATGGAGGCTTATTCTTAATTATGAATGCCTGGCCTTGGCTTGGCTTGCTTCTTGCCAGCTTTTCTTAATCTAAATTATCCTGTCTACCTTTTGCCTCTGGGCTATTTACATTTCTCTATTTCTGTATACCTTTCTTTCTTACTCTGTTGCTGGTTGTGTAGCTGGGTGGCTGCCCCCTGATCAACTCTTTCTTTTACTTTTAGATCTCTCTTCTTCTAGATTTCTCCTTGTATTAATTCTTTTTACCTACAAGCCACACCCATCCTTTCTCCTGACTTGCTATTGGCCATTCAGCTCTTTATTAAACCATCAGGTATTCTAGATGGGCACAGTAACACAGCTTCACAGAGTTAAACAAATACAACATAAAC